AACCATAAAATTTTTCTTTTTTTAATCCACTAAACAGTTGCCAGGATTAATTCGTTAGGTCAGCCACAAAGAGAATCTCAACTCTAAGTAGAAATATATAAACCCCACTCCTTGATTACAGTTCAGTAGAGGTAGAGATTTTTTTTTAGACATTTAATCAAACCAAATGAATCATTTGGAAATTTAAAGTCACTTGCTTAAATAATTTTAGGTAAATGAGGAAATACAAATTTGTATTTGAGATTAAGATAATAACAAGTAGGCAAAAGGGATTAATAAAAATGGAAATAAAAATTCATGAATTAGCGAACAGTAAGCCATTTGAACTAACAAATCCAAACACTGATTGTATGAAAATGCCTATAAAATCAGTACATCTCTTTTAAAGCCAAAGGAAAAATAAAAGAGAATCAAAAATTCGATGTTAAGTAAGGCATATAATCACTTGGCTATTGCACAGTTGCAGGAGGTGACTGAACTTGCAAGGCCACAGAAAAACTAAAGCTGGTGTTTTAGTAGGAATTTCAGAGTCAAAATCTGAATTCTGACATCTGATAGATGTGTAAGAATCAAATAAGAGTATTCTGTATGAGCTTAACCTCTGGTTTCCCTTCCATTTTGTGTGCACAATGAGTGTGTGTGTGTGTGTGTGTGTGTGTGTGTGTGTGTGCGTGCGTGTGTGCGCGCGCGTGCGTGCTTGTGTGTGTACATATGCACATTTATGTAGGTATATGTATGCCAGGTAGTTGATATGCTGACTGCTGTACCCATCTCTGCCTCCACTGTGCTTTCTGGACCTCTGCCATGGTGCTGGGGTCCCCTCACTTTTCTATAAATAAATAAATAGGTGGATGGATGGATGGATGGATGGATGGATGGATAGAGATAGATATCACTGCTGATTCAGATGTTCCCTTTTCTCTAGCAGTAAGAAGATGGCAGGATAGTATGTGTAGTTGTTGAGTGTAAATTCTGGAGTTAGAGTGTTAGGGTGACAAGACATGACCTTACCTCACCTGTAATATGTTGATAACAGTAATACTCACTTTATGAGTATTAAGTTACATAATTTATGAAAGCATCTAGAATAGTGCAAAAAATGGTAAGGACTCAACAGGCAGTGGTGGTGGTGGTGGAATTACAAGAGGTTTTAGCCTCATATGCTGGAGAAAATAGTGAACATTAGTGACAGAAATAACCAAAGTCAGTCCATGCAAGAATATGAAAGCTTCAGTTTTTGGATATGTTGTGTTTCCAATGCTTGTGAGACTTCCAGCTGGAAATGTTCAGCCAGGTGTTGGAAATTCTGGCCTGGGAGTTGGAAATAATGTCATAATGAGAGACACCGGTTTCAGAGTTAATATGTAAGAGTGATAATTACTACTGCAGTAGATAGGATTGACGTAAAGAGGGGATAGCTAAGGTCAGCTTACTGAGACATGCCTACTTTTGGGGATAAGAAGAGAAAAGATAGTAAAGATAGGAGAAAACCTTTAGAAAGGTACACTATGACAGAAGCAGGGTATTTTTGAAATGGCAGCCAAAAAAAAGAGCCAGGATGAGACTAGGAAAATGATAGGAAATGACTATTAGGGACTGCTAAGAACTAACCACCATTAAGAAATTAGCCTCATAATAACAATTCTGTGAGTTAAGGAATAAAGGCTTCTAAGAGTGTAAAGAAGGGAGGATGGTAGTTTTAGCAAGATACAAGTTGTGGAGTGTGGGTTTTTTGTCTCTGAATTGTTTGCTAGTTTTGGATAAAGGGTAAGGATTACCTGAGCTAGCTAATACTTGGAAGAGACAGGTGGAGTGAATAAAAGCCAAATGCCAGAGGAGATAATTAATAGAGCACTTGCCACCAAAATGCAACCTAGGTGAACATGAAGAGACAAATTTATGAAATATCAGCAGTGAAAAGATTTTAAGATGGGACAAGGAAATTTGAGAGTGCTCACATAGGATGACCTCAGGGTTCCCCGTAAAATAAGAGCTGAATTCATTGAGGATATGGTCTAAGACAGGATAGAGAGGTGAAGGAAACAAAGTGCTGAAATCATTGTGATTGAGAGTTTACTAAGTGCACACCAGAACAAAGAGTTACTGAATGGTACAGATTTGAGACTGAGGCAGTGGTATGTGGACTGGAAGGAATAGTGGGAGCAACAGCAAATATCCACCTGAATTCTTCCTGCTGGTCTGTAGACATAAGGGAATTGAAGGAGCAATGGCTGCCTTCTGAGATGATGGCCAGGAATGTGGTGCTAAGTCCACCTGAAAAATTCTAAGTTTAGTTAAGATTAGAGTGTTTTAAAAATTGTAAAAATTGTATTTGGGAAAAATAAGTTAACAATATAAGTAATTTTCTTAACAATTAGAATAGAAAAGGAATATTAGTGGTAGAGAGTAGAATTATACTTTTGGTATACAGCCATAGACAGTTTAGCTTAAAAATTTCTTAGAGAATAAAGCTGATTTTTATTAGTCTTAATTTAAATGAAAAATGGAAATTTTGAGATGTATTTTTAATATTGAAGAGCTTTAAAGGTCAACCTTCTTTTCATATATGTAAAATAAATTGCTGAAGATCACTAAAATGTTCATTTCTTAGATTTTTAAAGAAGATAATGTATTTTAAATCTTTGTATTCAAGATGCTGAAGGTAAAACATGCACATAAATCATTGTTTTGAGTGTGTGCGATGTGTTTATAAGAGGTGAGAGTGGAAGAGGGAACATTAAGACCTGTGGTCCATATACATTTTGACCTTTCAAGTTTTTTTATTTCTGTTAATTTGGACACATTGAACTTGAGTTACTGGCTGCTGACAGTTAAGAATTGCAATGTTAAGGTACAAAAGCTAAATTATACATAATTCTATAGTGAAGTAATACTTAAGTTTACAATTGCACTTTTCCGTGTTTTTGTTTGAATTGTATTCTCTAATTTTGGTTCAGCTTGTATTTACACCCAGTGTTGACAACTATTTCTTCTCCACATATTTGCCTAGCCCTCTTAGGTAAGGATTAACTGGGCATATAAACACTTACACTGTAGATAGGCTACAAATCACTTGCTATGTGAGAAAAAGAAAGGCTTTGAAAACCTTTTAATTATTGTATATTGTTATATACAAAATTATACCAAGAGTGGAGATAAAGGGAAAAATATCACCTCTCATTCCAGTAAACCCCAATAAATAACTTACAACTTGGTCATCTTATAGACTTGACACTGATTTAATTTTTAAATTTTTATTTAATTTTTAAACTAGATAATAAATTTACATGGTTCAGAAAATATTCCCTGCCACCCTGCCATCTTCCATCTGCTATTTCCCCCAACCTGCTTTGAAATTCTGTGTTTTTCTTGATAAATATGAATAAGTTGTTTGCAAAAATGACATTAAATAATGTGGTATAGTAAACCATTTTAAGTTTAGTTTAATTACTTTTTAAACTTTAATGATAGTCTTTGGCATTTTTATAGCAGCTCTTCAAAATAATACCATTTTACTACTACTTTTTTAGAAAATACATAGAACTAAAATTCTGGCAATTCCAAAACTATACCTTAAATATAGCTAGACTTTCTAAAACTGTTCATTAGGATTTGTGTAACATTTTGTAGTTCTAGCATTGTTTTGTGTAACTGCATTTAGTGTTTTAATCCTCACGAAAATCTTGTGAAGAAGGTCGGGTACACATTACTGTCCTCATTTTACTGCAGAAACAAATCAGAGTTTGTATTTTGACTGACATCATTCAAATTCTCAATTGTATGGTCTTTGTACTACAGCAAAAATCTTAAATTATTTGTCCTGATTTGAAATGACTTTTATCCATTTTTCGCATCTTATGTATATTTTTAATTGTAATAAAATGCTAACCTTTAAAACAATACCTATATACCTGCCATTCAGCATACATGTCTTTAAGGTCACATAAATGTACTTTATACTTTTCATTAGAGGGAAGAAAATATTTGTGTTCAGAGTTTTTAACACATTGGGAGATTTAGATGCCAAAAATAACTTGAGGAGAAATATTACAAATTCTTTTTTTCTTGAATATATTTTTAAGTTTTTTGCCGGTCATTTTTAACTGTCAGACTTCTTGATGTTATTATTTGCCTTATATATCTAAATTAAATGCTTGGATTTTTCTGAAATTATATTGTATAACAGGAAAATAAACCTTATGAAGTCATAGTTGTATAATAGAACAAGAAGCCTTAGGTACATGCCCTCATACCTCATTTATTTAGCATCATTAATGAATGCCTTGCTGTGCACATGAGTTTTTTTTTTCTTTAAAAAATACCACATGAGTTATATATATATGTTTTTAGCATTTGTAATACTTAGAAAAGAGATGTATGTAACTCAGGGACATCTCTAAGTACCTCTGTAATTGGATTATTGCATTCATTTATGTCAGCCACATATTGCTGTTTTTCTTGGGCTCTGAAGCCACCATCATCATTTTTTGCTGCTACTCTTCCTACCTCTTATAGGCAATATTCCTTTATATAGTGTGGTGACTGTGACAAGCTTTTGCCTGGAAAATAGGTAACCAAGTTTGTGAGGAATTGTGTGGTTAGTAAAAGTTTATAAGTCCTGTGGGGAAGCCCTATGTGTAAAGAGCACAGCAGTAGTGCAGAGGCCTTTGATGGTTATCTTGAATACGCAGTTGCTTTTGCTTATTGGGTTCATGGGTCAGAGCCTTGTTGTGACCATTAAGTGGGAGTGTTAAACTAAGATAATTGTATTTTAAGGGAGAAAAGTTATTCTGATACATTTCTTTGTACTGATGTTGCTCTGATTTACTTTATTGAGCTGGATTTAAATATTAATGATTTAAGGTCAAATTTCTAATACATGTGTGTGTATGTGTCTGTGTGTTCAATGGGTACAACGCAGTTACCGTAACAATTTAGTGAAATAACTGTAATGGAACTTTTCTTTTGAATTTGGCTTTTGTTTTTTTTCTGTCCACCAGGGAGTAACTATTCCCAGTCAGAGGCGCTATGTGTATTATTATAGCTACCTGTTAAAGAATCATCTGGATTATAGACCAGTGGCACTGTTGTTTCACAAGATGATGTTTGAAACTATTCCAATGTTCAGTGGTGGAACTTGCAGTAAGTGCTCCTAATTTTCATCCTTCCATGTATTGGAACATTTTTTGTTACTATATGTAGAAGTTAATGTGAAAATCTAGGAAGAAATTTACCACACTTAAAACTTATGCCAAGAGTGTATATTTCTGAAGTAAATAATAATTAGCTCGGCTGATCAGAACATTGGGCTAAGGAAGACAGCAGCAATGGATTTTAATGTCTTTGAAGCCAAATTGTATTCATGAAAGAAATAGTCTGTTCTGCAACTTCCAAATGCAGCCTAAATTCTGATCAGATGACAAAAACCTAACTCATCAGAGATCCAGCATGAGAGTAGCAGTGGGATTGATCAGTTTATTGGTATTGTGGCAGAGGCCAGTTCTCAGGAAGACTAAATATTGATAATGGTGACAGGGACAATAAAAAGGAAAGGAAAAAATGGTAATACATGGTGATAAGCTGAAATATATTGAGTGAATAGTGTTGAGTCAAAGTATGAGGTGAAAACTTGGATTTAGATCTGAGTTCCAGTCCTAGATCTGTCATTAATGTTCTTTGTAACCCTGGGCACATCATCTACCTACCTTTATGTTTGTTTATCAAATAAAGGAAGACATTTTAAAATCAAAGTCTCCTGGATAAGTACTAAATAAAGATCATGTCATTGAAGTCTGCCTCTAATTTGTTTCTTTCTTACCCTAACCTCTGTTAGCCACCTCAGTCATCCTGATTTTATTCTGCTTCACTACTGTTCTTAGCTCTTAGCTAGACCTTAATACCCAGAACCAGAGCAGTCAGTCAAAGGATAGCACGTGGAAGGAAGTACTGTGACTTCTGCTATTTTTTTCTGTAACAGAGTTTTATATTAGTTTCTACCTGGAAAGCAATTAGTCATGTCTTCATATTTAAGAAATATTTTGTTTATTTAGAGTCCAATTTTGTAGTTTCCAGATAAGATGCCACTACATTTTATTTCTTTTAATACCTGTAATAATATTTGAATAATATTTGGCAGTTTATTAGTGATTTTACTTTTTAACTCTAAGTTTTTGCTTTGAAAATATGTAATTTAAAATTTTCTATCTGTAAATTTGTTGGTAATCTCTGTAGGTATAATTACCCTCATCAGATCTTTTCTGTATTCTTAAAGCAAGGCAACTTTTGTCAAAGGCAACAGGTTTATTAATATAACATATTAAAGGCTTCTAGAGTCCTCATTGATGCTTCTGTCATCTCATTACAATTTTAAAACTTGCTGAGTGCAAAGCACTGGACTGTCAGATGTGGTTTACACGGAACTTAACAGATCCATAGAGGAGCAAGAAAAAGGAAGAAAGAACTCTTGCTCTTCTGGTAGGATAGATAACAGGTATAAGAGTCAAAATAAAGGTATAAAATACTAAGGAGTTAATAAAGGAGAGAGAACATTCAGTTCAGTAACCTTATCTAGTATGATTTTTTCACATTGGTTTTCCTAGCAGAAATCTTCAATTTTGCAACACCTTTCTACATTTTTATTTGGTCTCTCAGTGTTACGTTTAAACTTCCAAAATTACTGACTCCTGAAATCTTTTCAATCTTTTAATCTTTACTAAATTTCTAGTTTTTCATTTATGTACTGTGATTTAATACTATATAGAGAAGCTGTATTATAAATAACATAATTAAATGGGAGGTTATTGTATAAATTACAAAAGGGTATATTCAGAAAAAGAAAAGGTTTTGGGGGTTGTCAAGTAGTTTCATGAAGGAAGTCCAACTTTTTATTGAACATTAGACAAAGCATACAGTTTTGATTGGCATTAAAATTGAAGTAAATATTGCAGGCAATAGGAAATAGCTTGAATTGAAACACAGCCGAAGGAAATGAGCTGGACAAGAAATGTAGAGACAGAACAGAATGGGAATGGAATGTGTGGTTGACTGTTAGAGGACCCTGAATGGGAATATCAGACACAATTTAATAGATACTATCATGTCAATGATAATACCAGTGGCTTATTAAACAGTATTTTAAGTACAGTTGTGTTGAAAGTGGTGATTTCAAGAGAGAAAAAAAGTGATGGAAAGTAAACCAGTTAAGTGACTTACTTTAAGCCAGAGCAATTGAATGGGATTTGATCAGTTTTTCTTTGGCATTTATATATGATTTTGTCAGAGTTTTGATCCTGGCTATGTGAATAATCCACAAAAAAGGGTAAAAAGAAAAGTGATTCTAACAGACTTGGAGACATGAATGTTGATGTTTTGGGTTTGAATCACATGGAGGTGAGCTGTTTATGTGAAGATATTCAGTAGGTACTTGAAAGTATGAGTTTGAATCTTACTTGAGAGAGATATCTGATATTTTGGGAAGCATAGGGAAAGACAATAGTAGCTAACCTTTTCATGTAAATATGGTGTGGGGCTAGAGGGATGGAAAGGCTCAAAGGGAAGCAAGGTGAGGACTGAGATGGGATGTGCAGCAGTTGGGTTCAGGAGGAAGAAGAGAAATCAGTGAAGAAAGAATGTGAAAATAAAGTGCCTTATGCAAAGTTGTCAAGAGGTTAATCTTTTTCCTATTTGAGTATTGTCTTAATATTTCTAAATAAAGGAAAAGTTACCATGTTCTATACATCTAAAAGGGTTAAAATGTTAATACAAGATGATCAGTGTGATTTTCTCTCTATTATATCAATATGCATATATCCAAGAAAATGTAATTCTGATTTGTGTTTACTAGTATCTATTTGTCATTTCTTCAGAACACAATTATATCAAAGGCTAGATCTCAGAATTGTGTCTTAGAAGTCATCAGAATCTTACTAACTGTTGACTTTCTGATAAGTTAGGTTTTGTCTATCTAAAATGTGAAATACATATTGTAAAGAAAATAATTTTCTGCAGTAATTTGAGGAAATCTTTTCCAGTAATTTTTTATTGAAAATGTTAAGCTTAGTTTTGGGGGAAAATCCTAAGTAAAGTAACACTGATTTGTAATTAGTTTATGATTATTTAAACAATTCTAAAATTCTTGAAGGTACACATTTTAGATGTAGTTTAATTGAAATTTGGGTTATACAGTTAATTTGCTTTTTAAAGTCTTAAAATCAGGATTGTCAGATTCTGAATTAGAGGTGTTTGAGTTAATAAAATAACAAGGCATTTTCATCCTCATTGAGTTTTATAACAGCTTTAAAATCAGACCTTGCTTTGTTTGCTTTTTTAGATGTTGCAGTGGGAAATTTTCAGTATCACATCAATTCTTACAAAATGGCTCATTCTACTTTGAATCTTTAGGCTAAGAAGTGAAAATTATTGACAGGGTGCAAGTGTAATCTTTCTCTTTTGGGGTGCCTTTTTCTCATGTTCAGTGTCCCACAAATCCATATTGAAATACCTCACATACTTTCATCAAATCTATTTATTATGTGATTGTAGGTACTGCTTTAGATGTTGCTTTAATGAGCGAGTAGAAGTTTATTACACTGGAAAATTAATTTGACTCGGATAAACTTTTTACCTTGTTTACAGTTGCTGGTCGTATTGATAAAGAATATGGTACTTTTTGTTTCATCTTTTAAGGATGATGCCTTTTGGTGCTGAGAGTATGTCTGTTTATATATACAGTTGACCCTTAAATGGGTTTCAACTGCTTGGGTTCACTTATACGATTTTTTTCAACAAATATATTGGAAGGTTTTTTGAAGATTTTTAACAATTTAAAAAAACATTTTGTTTTCTCTAGTTTGCTCTAGTAAGACCATTTGTATTACACAGAACATACGGACTGTGTACCAACAACTATGTTATCAGTGAAGCTTTTGGCCAGTATTAGTAGTTAAGTTTTGGGGGGGGGGGTCATATATATGCAGATTTTTGGCTGCATGGTGGGTCAGCACCCCTTACCCCCACATTGTTCAAGGATCAGCTGTGTGTGTGTGTGTGTGTGTAGGTATGTAAGTATATTTCTTATGCACTTTATGGAAGCTTATGTTTTTATTTTTTGATTGTCTTGGGATATTTCCTTCAAGACCCACTTCTTACCTCCTAAGGTTAATCATTTTCTCTTTAATGAACTCTGGTTTTTGAACTCCATGTACTATTGAATTATACAATGTCAAATTATTTAGGTAACTTAAAGTTTTTAAAGTCATAGGATTTTAGCATTCATGTCTTTAAACTAAATTCTTTCATTAATGTCATTAGGTGTAATGTATTTATGAGTAGATTTACAAAAAAAACATACCTAATCCTCCTCTTTTCACGCTTTACTACTACCTTTTAGTTCAGTAACTAATATATAAGCATGATACATTTTGAGAGATTATATTTTACCAGTTATTTCAGAACCAGACATGGGCTTTCAAAATACTTGCTAATGAAAATAGGATGTGGTTTGGAGGGAGGGCATCTACATTATAGTGTGTACTTGATGTCTATTATATTTTTTTGTAGACATTTCAAATCTCTTCCTGTTTCTCAGGATAATGGATTTACATACTTTGAAAAAGTAAAATGTAAACTATAGAGGGAAATGAATGATAATTACTATTTGTTACAAATATTGGGACTTGTGTATATGGAATTTATGATAACTTTGTCATAGATTATACTCTCTTCTTATGAACTTTATAATAATGTGTATTTTGTGGTATTTGTTACATGGTAGAGACTTTAAAATTCTGCAACAAATACCTGTTTTAAAAGTCACCTTTTAAACAGTCTAAATGTGCAGAAAATCATTTCAGCATTTATTAAATAATTTTTAATATTTATTAAAAATTATTAAAACAATTTATATTAGGTTTTTAATATTTTAATGTTAAAGTTTAGATGTTACTAAAGTGCTCAAAGTCTAATCTTGTGACTTACTCTTTGTGAAAAGAGTTGATTTTATATACCAGTATTACAACCTTACGTTGAAGGTTCAGTTTAGGGAAAATCTTGTATTGATTATATATTTTTACCTAATTTATTTTCGTTGATTGTTTTAAATCAGGGTTACAGATGCTATTATTTTGTGTATATTGCTAATATTAATTTTAAAGTAGTTTTTGACAGTTGGGCAATGAAAGGCATTTCCTGCAAAATGATACTAGTATGTATTTAACCATGCAGATCCCCAGTTTGTGGTCTGCCAGCTAAAGGTGAAGATATATTCCTCGAATTCAGGACCCACACGACGAGAAGACAAGTTCATGTACTTTGAGTTCCCTCAGCCATTGCCTGTGTGTGGTGACATCAAAGTAGAGTTCTTCCACAAACAGAACAAGATGCTAAAAAAGGTTGGTGCTTTAGTACCTTCATTGGGAGAACAACCACACCTTGAACAGTAACCTCAGATCTTTGCTTAAAGCTTTTGATTAGGCAAAAATCATGCTGTGAGGAAAGATTGAAAGACACATTTTAATTTAGTAAATAAGTCACAGGGTGAGAAGTACAACACAGGGAATATAGTCATAATATCGCAGTAACTTTTATGGTGATAGATGGTAATAATACTGTGCTGAGCATTTATTTCATAATGTATGGGTGAATCACTATGTTGTATACCTGAAATTTGTATATTATATATCAACTATACTTGGATAAAAAAGATACATCTTTTATGACTGAAACCTGCTGAATTATAATTGATTTTCTATTAGATCAGCACATGCTTGGCTTACTATGGAATTGACAAATCATTATAATGGTATATAATACTATTAGGAGGAAAAGGCCATATGTCATTATAATTGATAGAAATTTTTCTTGGGTTATGCAAAGAAGTTTCCTAAAAACATTAAAGATTGCATACATACCTCATTACATCAGTTACAGTCCTCTTGTAAAGGATGATTAACTGAGAGGAAATTAGCTTGGGATCATGAGTTCGAAAAAAGTTTGATCTCTATGTATAAAAAAGATCTGTTCCATGGTCTTGTGTAATGGTGCAAACTACTTGCCCCCTTTTTGGTTTATGTTTCTTGATACTGGGTCATTTTATATTTAGCTTCTTCAAATTTACTGAATATTTCAATTTTGAGCTAGGAGAGAAATAGATATGAATAAGTAATAATGAAAAACGGTATTATTTAAATATGCAGGTTTAGAAAGTTAATGAGGTTTGCATCTAACTGGCATGTATTTAGAGAATGTAAGAACTCATTTTAAAACAAATTATCTTAATTTAAAATTACTAAATTGAATTAAGCATTCATCAAGATGCACACTAAGATTTGTACACTTCATTGTATGTACCTCAGTTTTTAAAAAAAACTCAGTGTGAACATATGATGTGATCCTAAGGTGCAAATTTTTGGGTAGTAATGATCAAAAACACTAGATAGTATATTACCATTAGACATTCTCAGTATTTGGATTGTTTCAGTTTTCCTGAATTTTAGCTTACTTTTTTAAAGAAAAGAAAAAAGTTTCATTTACTACAAAAATTTTAAACTCTATTTTTACTTATCAGAAGAAATATAATTTCCTTTATCCAGTCTAAGTAGCTGAAAAGTCACAAAATATAAAACTGGTTTTTTCACCAGAAACACATTTCCTGTCTGTTCTGTATAAACAAAGGTTAAATATATATCAATAACTTTGAAAAATTATTTTTCAATAATCCAAGAAGTGTTAGCAAGTATTTTAAAATTAAGGTAAGTAGTTTTTTTCTTCTGTTCATTGTAAGACATAATGCATGCAGTTTTATATTTTCCTTTCAAAAATAGGCACCTGCATCACTATTTTCTTATACCTTTAGGAGTGTACTAATTCTTACCATTTGAGTTCTTATTATCTACATTACATTAGTACATGTAAAATTGGAGATTAGATTAGTTATAATATATTTGTGTATCTTGGATCACTTTACCTGTATTTCCATTGCATATGATTTTCGCTGCCTTTTATAAATGTTTGCTTGTGATTTAAACAAAAACAGTTTTAGTATATATAATCAGTGCATATATATATATACAATCTACATTTTTGGAAATTTAAATATTCTAGCTCATTTTCTTCTCACTCTAAGTAAAATAGGTATATTACTAACTCAATGACTTTGTTAATATAATGAAATTAACACATTTTATAAGATTGTTTTGCTAGGTACTGGTAAAAGATAAGACATTTAAGACATAAGATACTTAAGGGTCTTACTTAACATCATCTTAGGGAAAAAACCAAAATTTTAAGATAAATATTCACATGGCAGTTCAAGGCACCAGGAAAGATGTCGTAAGACTACGTCAGTTGTCAAATGATCCATACAGACCAAATTCCAGTAATTAAGAGTAGATAGAGAACATTTTCTGTGTTGGTCGAGAAAGGTTTGAAATGATGAACTTCTGATGTGGTTTTGATTAACAAGACCTCATATTAGTAAGAAGTGATTTTTCTTAAAAATAGTCATAACATAAAAAACGTCTTAAGTACTTAACCTCATCTTCCCTGTATTCTTTTAATTAAAGTTTTACATTGTCATGTAAAAAACTTAATGTTTGTATTGCTGTAGAAATAAAAAATGTCTCTGACTTCATCAGGAAGCTGTACTTCAAGAACTTTGTTAAAGTAAATTTTGAAACATTGGGAAATTAAATCCATTTCTGAATTTTTTAATACATACATACATATAAAGTCAAACCATTTTTTAAAGCTAATATTAGACTAACAAGAGTTTTTGCTTAAGATTTTAAAAATAAGTTACCTTGGAACTTGTGGAATTACATTTTTCTAAAATTTGAATAAAAGTAAAGACTTGTGAATTCAGTGCAACAGATACCCACATATTGCCAATTATTAATTTTTGTGTTTACCTTTATTCAAGATATCACATGACATGTTTTTTTGTTGTTGTTGTTGACTTTCTGGAGCAAATATTGAAGAAAGTGGTATGTTCTATATATTTTTTAAATTAAAATATGTCTTCTGTTTTTTAGGACAAAATGTTTCACTTTTGGGTAAATACATTCTTTATACCAGGACCAGAGGAAACCTCAGAAAAAGTAGAAAATGGAAGTCTATGTGATCAAGAAATTGATAGTATTTGCAGTATAGAGCGTGCAGATAATGACAAGGAATATCTAGTACTCACTTTAACAAAAAATGATCTCGACAAAGCAAATAAAGACAAAGCCAACCGATACTTTTCTCCAAATTTTAAGGTGAGTTAAAAAAATTTTAAGTTGGTGGGTAGCTCTATGTGTTTGTTTTATTTTAAGCATATAGCTGGTAAAGGACTTGCTCAGCTAATTTTTAAATTAAGTATTATTTAAAAGCAAAATTGATGTGTCAGTAAATTGAAAATTTCTGACAAAATCCAGGAGGTTGTACACAAAGCCAAAAAAGCTGTATTTTCCTTATATTTTATAAGGTGTTCTTGGGTGAAGTCTGGGGCAAAGGTTGGGATATGAAGTAGGAATGGGGGAGGAAAGAAGTGAAAGATAACGAATCATGTGGAATTGATTCATATGGAGTGTTCTTACTATTTCTACCCTTGACCTCCATTTATTGTCAACCTCTCAGAGTGATCTATGGCATAGACTTGATTGTGTCACTTCTGTTTACACTTTTTAAAGACCTTATTTATGGTTTTTTGATATGACTTAGAAGGATGTGCGTAATTTAGCATAGGCCTACCTCCCATGTCAACTCTAGCCACATTCTCTCCCAGCTCCCTGAAATTCACCCATACTGGTCTCTCTTCAGGTCTTAAGCATACTAAGCTCTTCTGCCTCCAGTTTTTCCAATTCTTTTCCTTCTTCCTGTACCTCTCTGCCCTCAGCCTTTGCCCTCCCCTTCACATGGCCGTCCTTCTCATATTCTAGCCTTAGCTTCAATCTTGTATGCTTGAAAGGCTTTTTCTGACACCCTCTCCTTTTACTCCCTTTTAAAATGCTGTCTCCTTCCTCCTATCATGGAATTGTTGGGTTTGTTTTAGCCATATGTGATGTGTGTGTGTACTTCTGTTTCTATTTATAGATTAAGAATGCTCCAGGTTAAAAACTATGATGTGTAAGCATTCCCCAATGGTGGTTTGCCATTTTTTCTTCTCCTTTCCTTTTTCTTATTCTACTTGATTTTTATCCCTTCCTTTCTCCTTATCCTCCTTCTTTTTCTTTTTTTTTTAAATGCTCTTTTTTTTTTGCTTCATTCCATTTTTTAAATTTTGTTATCATTAATCTACAATTACATGAAGAACATTATGTTTACTAGGCTCCCCCCTTCAAGTTCCTCACACACACTCCATTACAGTCATTGTCCATCAGTGTAGTAAGATGCTATAGAATTACTACTTGTCTTCACTGTGTTGTACAGCCCTCCCCATGCCCCCCTTACATTATACATGCTAATCCTAATGCCCCCTTACTTTTTCCCTGCCCTTATCCCTCCTTTCCCACCCCTCCTCCCTAGTCCCTTTCCCTTTGGTAACCGTTAGTCCATTCTTGGGTTCTGTGATTCTGCTGCTGTTTTGTTCCTTCAGTTTTTCTTTGTTCTTATACTCCACATATGAGTGAAATCATTTGATACTTTTCTTTATCCGCCTGGCTTATTTCACTGAGCATAATACCCTCTAGCTCCATCCATGTTGTTGCAAATGGTAGTTTTCTTCTTATGGCAGAATAATATTCCATTGTATGTATGTACCACATTTTCTTTATCCGTTCATCTCGTGATGGACATTTACGTTGCTTCCATTTCTTGGATATTGTAAATAGTGCTGTGATAAACATAGGGGTGCATCTGTCCTTTTCAAACTGGAGTGCTGCATTCTTAGGTTAAATTCCTAGAAGTGGAATTACCGGGTCAAATGGTATGTCTATTTTGAGCATTTGAGGAACCTCCATACTTCTTTCCACAATGGTTGAACTAATTTACATTTCCACTAGCAGTGTAGGAGGATTCCCCTTTCTCCATAACCTTGCAAACGTGTTGTTGTTTGTCTTTTGGTTGGTGGGATTCTTACTGGTGTGAGGTGATATCTCATTGTGGTTTTAATTTGCATTTCTCTGATGACTAGTGATGTGGAGCATCTTTTCATGTGTCTGTTTGGCCATCTGAATTTCTTCTTTGTAAAAGTGTCTGTTCAGCTCCTCTGCCCATTTTTTAATTGGATTATTTGCTTTTTGTTGGTTGAGGTGCATGAACTCTTTATATATTTTGTATGTCAACCCTTTATCGGATCTATCGTTCTTGAATATATTCTCCCATACTGTAAGGTACCTTTTTGTTCTATTGATGGTGTCTTTAGTGCTGCACAGAAACTTTTCAGCTTAATATAGTCCCACTTGTTCATTTTTGCTTTTGTTTCCCTTGCCCGAGGAGATATGTTCATGAAGAAGTCACTCATGTTTATGTCCAAGAGATTTTTACCTATGTTTTTTTCCAAGAGTTTTATGGTTTCATGACTTACATTCAGGTCTTAGATCGATTTCGAATTTACTTTTGTGTATGGGGTTAGACAGTGATCCAGTTTCATTCTCTTACATGTAGCTGTCCAGTTTTG